TAAGAAACATTCAGCACTGATTCTTCAAGATGTGGTCCCCAAACATCCACATGGATTAATTCAAATTTCTGCTTAGTTTGTATCTGACTAAGTGGAAAGGGCAGCCTGCTTTGCTTTGATCTGTGGCATATGTCACATGGCTTCAACAATTGAGTCTCAGACTTGTTTGCTAGAAAATGCAAGTGCCTTAGACATTGGACAGAACTATGACCCAACCTTCTATGCCATAAGAACAATTCCTCATCCTGTAAGTTTTCTTCATCAGCAGCATTAATCAAGACCTTCTTTGCCTCAATCACATATAAACCTGCCACTGCCTTTCCAAAGGCTACATCAGAATTAGTTTTAGTACCCTCAACTTGAAATTCTTACTGGTGAACACAAAGTGCATCCCATTGTTCTCCACAAGTTGACCCACTGACAGAAGATTGTATTTAAACTCTGGGATCAACAATACATCTTTGAGGATTATCCTATCATTGAACTGTACCTCACCAACTTGTGTGACCTTCAATCTGGTTCCATCAGGTAGATTCACAATGATGGGAACTTGGGAGGTAACTTTCTTTGTCATCATCCCAGCCTCACAGCAAATGTGCTTACTTGCTCCTGTGTCCACAATCTAGCTACTTTTGTCAAGTTTGCCAGCCAGTGAAAATGCATAATCCTCTTTGTCACTTGAATATTCCACAAAATGAGAATATGTGTTAGTTTCTGCTTCATGCTGCCCAGCCATATATTTAGCAACCTCCTTTTGAATCAAGGAACTTATGTCAGGCAATGTGTCACTGTGTTGAGATCTGCTTTCTGAATCACCCTTTGAGGAGTCATCCTTGTCAGCCATATTCACACTTTGAGCTTGTCTTTGCTCCCTCAGCTCTTTAAACCAATCTGGATAGCCATTTAATTTGAAGCATCCTTGGACTTCATGTCCATTATAACCACAATGTGTACAAAAGAGCTTTGCTCTTTCCTCCTTAGACAATCTTGGGCCTCCTCTTCCTCTTCCACCATTGAAGTTCTGTGATCCCAAGTTCCTTCCACCATTGCCTCTTCCAAAACCCTGTGTTCTGCCAGTATTCCCTCTCCCAAAACTTCCTCTAACTAGCATGGCTGAAGACTCCAGCTGAGTGGTCATTTTTATACCAACACTTTTCTGTCTTTCTACCTTCAAAATCATTGAGTAAGCTTATGGTAGGTAATGGATCAAGCAATAGTATTTGATTCTTCACTGGTTCAAAGGCTTCATTAAGTCCCATAAGAAACTGCATCAACTTTATCTCCATGTCAACTTCACAAAATTTCTTTCCAGATCCACAAACACAGTCAGGTATAGAGACTAGGCAAGAGTATTCATCCCACAGGCACTTCAACTTAGTGAAATATGCAGTGACAGTGAGATTTCCTTGAGTGAAATTTGCTATTTCCTTCTGCAATTGGTACCTCAAGGGTCCATTGCTCTCACCATACCGTTCAGCTAGCTCATCCCACAGCTCTTTGGCATTTTTAACATATGTAAAAGATTCTACGATATCTTTTGAAATGGAGTTAAGCAACCAAGAGATGATCATGGATTCTACCTTTTGGTACTGATTATACTCCTCTGAGCCAGCTTCTGGAATCTCTACTGCTCCATTGATAAATCCAAGCTTCGACTTCGCACTAAGGGCAAGTTTCATAGCGCGGCTCCAATGCAAATAATTTGCCCCTGTGAGTTGATTCGTGACCAGGACCAAACCAGCGTTATCAGATCCATGAAGAGAGAGTGGATCTACATCGCGAGTGTAGATTCCCCTTCCAACGATTTCGTTACTGTGCGCCATCTTCTACCCGCTCTAGATACCATGTAAATCTGAGCTTTGTTTGTGATAGATCGAAAAACAAGAAGAAAAGATGAATAGATCTTAAATCGCCATTTTCATTTGAGCTTAAAGCTCTGTAAATTCAACTCAAAATGATAAGAGAGACGTACAGCATGTTTAATACCCTTACAATCCATAATGCCCTACCAGAAGCCAACACGTGTCCTATTTAAGAGGCTAAAATAAAACGCACCCAAAACTAATAAAAACGCGCCCTAAAAGAGTCCAAGAGAAACGCGACATAGTTAATAAAAGAAGAGCAACACTAAACAGATATTTGCATGATAACACCCAGTACAAACTTCAATCAAGGATTTCACACTTCAACATTATGGACACCTAACATTTTCAATTGGAAAGTATAATTTAATTAATATGCTCCATTGATTGTGCCTCAGCGTCTAAGTTAACTTGTACATGTTCGATGTGGTTTCTGGTATCTGCAGAAATGAATTTTATATGATGAATTGAGTTCTGCTGCATTGCAGGGTGACCCGCGATTTGTTTGGAACAGGAACTTATTGGAGGAGCTTATTGAGAACAAGGTTAGAAAATGTCTCCTCCTCAAATGATTAGTGATCTACATTCTTTGTCAAATACATTGCTTATATGGAACTGCATGGATGATTTCTTGTCATTTTGTCATAATGGCAAAAATATGTTGATAAAGCTAATTTCACATTACTTTGAGCATGTGTTTACTATATGTTGTTTTATATTCTTCTCTTTCTTCTTGCAGCTCGATGGATTTATCATCCCCATATTACAAGGAAATATCCTTCCTTATGTGTTTGTGTGTGTATGTGTGTGTGTGCGTGCGGCGTATACATGCATCTGTACCTGTGTGTGTGGATTTACTAGTGCCTTTTCTCCTCCATCTCTTTTGGTTAATCCGCTCTCTGGTAACATCTATAAGCATCTGAAATGAATATAACCATATATGAACAGAAAAGAAAAGAACACAATAATTATGTTCTGCTTGACTAAGGCTAAAGCTTTCAGACGGGCGAAATGAAGCTGAAAAGTTCAACTGCTGTTATAAAATTAGTTTCTCGGAGGTGTACAAGGAGGCTAGGTACAAAACTATGGGTGTATTTAATTATTTATCCTTAGTTGGGTAACATTTTAACATTTTGTACTATTGAAAATTTACTAATTTTAGGGACAAGAATGTGGAGAAGAGGAGCTAATCTAGAAGGAGATACTGCTAATTTTATAGAAACTGAGCAGCTGCTAGAGTGTGAAGGCCATATTTTCTCTTTTCTGCAGGTTTGTTTCAGTTACAGTCACCCTTCCATTGGGCATATTTTATGTTGCTCACACTCTGTAAATGGTGACAGATACAGATTGCTTTTTAGAAATAAGAGTTAATGTACGGCCATTTTGTTAACGTTAGAGATATAAGTTGCCATTACGATGTGCCAATTTCAGAGTAGTGATCACGGTTTGAGTAAACATATTAGTGTTGTTATGATGTATATTACCTTCGGGAGGGGATTATGACCTAAGTCCGTATAGGAGTAATTGATCCAATCCAAAACATAAAATATATTTCAAGCAAATTGAAGGGAAATATTCCATACTTGGAATTTATATTATGATTTTTTTATACACCATATCATTTATCATTTTTTATTTTATTTCGTACTCAAACAAACCCCAATGCCAATCCAGGTGAATATAAAATGTACCCAAGACATAGCGACCACATTATTATTATACTACCAATATATATTAGGTTTATGGTGACACCCCGTATCATAATACGGAGATATCTTTTGGATTGTGATCAGTGATTATTGTTAATAAACATTCACTACATATACAATAACACTAGCCCCATCACACTACTAAAATAAGGCCATACACTGCTAGAGTAACATCATGTATAGCATATTTAGCCATGTTCGAGTTTCTACTAGATCCTCACCCAATTCAAGTACATACTGTTCACCCTCATCAAGTCTATTTAATCAGAACTTAACGTGTACTTCTATTTTACATGTACATAGTTTTCCATATTGGTAAGTGTTATAGGTCAGAATATATTAACTATAATATTTTTGGTCAGTTTTTTTGCTATATACATGTGGGTGGATTTTCTACCTATTTCTCTCACATAAAATCATTTTTATTTTATATTTATTGATTTTCAACTCTGGAAATGCATGTTAAATGAAGCTGTGATTCTCAGGTCCGGGGTTCAATTCCACTTCTGTGGGAGCAAATTGTGGATTTGAGCTACAAACCACGGCTCAATATAATCAACCACGAACAGACTGTATGTACATGCCCTATTCTATACCGTTTGCTGTTTTTGCTATTTTAGTTGAGTCAGTACTCATGTTTGTCTTCTGTTTCAGTCAATGGTTGTGGAACGCCATTTTAATGATCTTCTAAAAAGATATGGAAGATGCATTGTGGTTGACCTGACTGATAAGGTAAAGTATTTGCATTGTTCAACGTCAAGTCTGTTGATTTTTCGAACCATTTTCACTATTCTGAAATTTCACCTTGCTCCACTAATGCACAGTACTCTTTCAATCTATCTTGTAGCACGGAGATGAAGGTTTGTTGAGTTCGGCCTATGCAGAAGAGATGCAGAAGCTTCCGCATGTCAGGTGAGTCTTTTCCACTTTTTCTATAAACATAAGATATTTATTTGTTTGTTAATTTTCTTTTTTTTTTTTATTTAAGAATTGTTAGACATGGGAGCTTTCCACCTCTTCTGGCAAAATTAGTATCTGTTATTCAGTTAAAAATAAGTTGATGAATTGCTTGCAACGTTCTGTATTTATTCTTATATCTAGGATCATACTGGTGATGCCCCAAAATAGTTTGAGTAAATTATAGACAATTTATCAATATGTATTGGGACCTTGTACTATGTACTGTGTTTTTTCTTCCAAATTTGTTTCCTTTTATATTTCCACCAGGTTTTCAGTTCCGTAAGACAAAAAAAGGAAAACAAATACAAATATTTATGATATTTATATACTCTCATTCCAGGTATGTGCCGTTTGACTTCCACCAGTTATGCAGCAATGGAAACTTCGACAACATACACCTTCTCTATGACCAAATAGCGGAGGACTTCGAGAAGCAAGGGTAATGATGATGGACTTTAGTGTCGGTTATTATGATGGATATTCATAACTCTTTTAATATTTACTATTCCAGCTGAACAGATACTTCCTTTTAGATTCTCAAGGGAAGATTGTAATGGAACAGGGAGGAGTAATTAGATCTAACTGCATCGATTGTCTCGACAGAACAAATGTTACTCAGGTTTGAGGAAACAAATTCGATTATTCGTCTTGATAGCCAGCCATCGGAAAAAAAAAAAAGAAAAGAAAATAAATAATTATCTACGGAGCATTTGGTTTCCCCTTTCAGTTTATTCTCTGATTGCCAGCAAATTTTGTTCTTCCTCCTGATTGCTATCTATTGGGGGAACAAAACAAAAAAGAAAAAGAAAAAGAAAAGAAAAGAAGAAATAAATTATCTATGGAGGATTTGATTTTCCCTTTTTGATACCTTATGTTTCATGTTTTCAAATGCAGAGTTACCTCGCTCAGAAATCCCTAAATTCTCAGCTCCAGAGAATTGGCGCAATCTCTCAAACCGAATGTATTTCAATGTTTATTGAAGATTTTGAAACTTTTAAGACGTGTATGGACCGAGTGTAAACCAATGGTTTATTAGTTATTTGTGTTAGTTGCATATGAGCAGTGTTATTATTTTATTTTTGCTTCTGCTAATACATTTGCTGTTCTTGACAGTATGGGTGGAGCATGGGGATGAGATAAGCCTCGAGTATTCTGGGACCCACGCACTGAAGCGGGACCTTGTGAGGTGAACTGAGAATAAACAAGTAATTTGGATACCCCAAAAAAAAAAAGAAAAAAGAAAAGAAAAAGAAAAGAAAAGAAATTGGATATATTCAGGACATCACCGTATTATGTGATTACTTTTTTTTTTTTTTTTTAAGATTTGGGAAACAGACAATGTCTGGTATTATCAAAGATGGTATGAGTGCCCTTTCAAGGTACTACCTGAATAATTTTCATGACGGAGTTCGACAGGTAAGTTATCCATAGTTGATAATAGTGTATTTTTTTGTGTGTATGTGTGCGCGTGTGCGTGAGAGATAAAGAGAGGGCTAAAGGGCTTGCAACAATAAAATTTCTGACATTCTTTTTGGGGGTTCTCACAGGATGCCATTGATCTTATCAGTGGACGTTATATTGTGAACAGAAACGGTCCATCTCCTTCACAACCTAAAGTTTACGAATCCATCTCTGTAAGTAATAAAATCCCCTATAAATGAACTACATGTTGTGTTTGAATCTATGGATTTGGGTCTATGAATATCATATCCCAAGTCAAATCCCCAAATCCATTTGGATGTGAATAGAATTAGAATTTCAATTGTTATTTTCGAGAGATTTCGAATTCATCCTCAAATCTAGTCATCATTTTAAGTTCTCCTTTCATTTTAACACCATCATCCACACCCACTACCACACCAAAGCAAATTATGGATTTAAAGGCAAAATTGCATTTAAGTCCTGCTATTAGCAGAAGTCATAGCAATTTTAGTCCTAAGATTCCAACATTTCATCTTTTGGATTTGTGATTTAATATTTTGCTGCAATTTCAATACTTCAAGAATAAAATTGCAACAAATTCTCAAATTTTCCATTAGCAATTTAAGTCCTGCAATTTAAAATTTTGTTGCAATTCCAATCCTCTAATTTATAATTTAAAACTTTCAGTCCTCAAATGATTGCAAGCAAAATATTAAATCACAAGACTAAAATTGCTATGACGTCAAACCAATGAGATAAAAGATGCATTTTTTGCCGGATTTAAATTGTCATGGATTTGTAATCCTTTCCGAAAATCAACCCAAATCCAAACGCAGCATCAGAGTCTCAAGTTGCATGAAGTCTATACATGTTTTGCTCAGTCGTGGTGTGAAACCTTGAGTGAGGATAATTTTTGAACTGCACGTGTAACTTGCTGTCCAGTGCATGAAATGCTAGAATTAGTTTCATCATAATGGGCAATGACTCTTATTTGGCTTATTAAGCAATTCTATGTTTTCAGTATCTCCCTGTGGCATCAGCTTTAGTAATTGGAGGGTTAACATTGACATCAATCACGGTAAACCAAGGTATTCCGGGATTTTTTTTTTTTATTATTATTTTATTTTTATAGCTTTAGGAGTTTAAAAATATTCATCAATAATATTTAAAATTTATTGCTAGCTGGAAGAAATGCGCAGCACGTTCTATCTTCTATGGTCTGTGCTGGTGTAGCTGCCGGCTTGATGGCAATAATCAAAGCCAATGGACGACAAATTTGTTCAAAGCCTCGTTTGTGTGGTTTGTTCTAAAAGACTAAAGAGTCCTTGCTGACTTTGTATAAAGGTAACAAAAATATTCGTACACTGGCACTGCAAATTTGACAAGTGTAGGAGTTCTTGGTGTGTGCAGCAGATTAGTTTAATTTAAATAATGAAACATAATTATTGTGATAAACTTGGAAATTTGATGAACTCATGTTGTGTTTCAGTTTTATTATTTGATGCTAGTTATGTTCTGGGTAAATCTCTGTGTCGTGCTTTGTTAATTGCAGACTCTATTTTCTGCCTGGGTAAGTTAGACTACAAATAACAATGACCATCTACACACCTGGTGTGTCCAGGTGGAAAAAAAAAAAGAAAAAAAAAAGAAAAATGAAAAAAGTAGGGAGACAGCCGGTGGGTTTTGGGTGGTAGCCAACCATCTTGGTTGAGTTGGTCTTTAATAATGTAACCAATGGAATGGAGACACTTGTCTCCATCCCATTGGTTCATCTTTTTTTTTTTTTTTATAATTTTTAAACTAATATATTTTTTATATAATCAAATAAAAAAAATAAATAAATATACCAAAATTTATAATTTTTAATTCTCTACAAATAGAGATCAATTTTGCTATACTTATTTTTTATTTTTAAATTGACATAAATATATAGTTTTTAAATTTGTATGTTTTTTATATAATAAAATAAAAATATGTTAAGTCACAATACATAAATCCCATCACTTCTAACAAAAGAAAATAAAATAATTATATAATTATATTAAATCAAAGAAAATAAAAGAATTAATTAATAGTTAAAATGAAATGAAATAAAAAATATAATAATTAAATAAAATCAAATTAAGAAAAAAAGGTTGTGGTTGGATGTTGGTGTGGTTGGGATGATCATTGATGATGTGGAAGAGAGAGAAAATAATTAAATATTAGGGTGGTTGAATGGTTGGGTGTTTGGAAAGGTTGCTGTTATTTGTAGTCTTAATATAGGGTGTGATTGGATATATAGAATTTAATTATAGTTGAAATATAGAATTTTTAACGTAATTTTCTTTTTTTTCTTCTTTTTTTTTTTATAACTCGATCGACTCGTTAGAGGGTCATACTCGAGCTTCTTAAATTTAAAGGGCTCAAGATCGGATCAACTCGATAACAACTCTACTTATAGGGTTGTGCAGTTGAAATACTGGATAGCATATTATTTCGATTTTTATTTTTTTTTTCTTATGGAAGAGGATATTGTTGACAATTTTCCTAGCATAGTGCTAAGAATGAACTAGATCAAAATGGCTCAATTAAATTCTAGTGCTTCTTCTATTAGTGAAGTTTCTAGAAAAAAATATATCAAACGACGCAACGCACCTTGGGTCGCTATGGAAATAGCCTCCTTGTATAATTACAAGGGTAAGGTCTGAGTACAACTGACCCTTCAGACCCCAACCTGTTGGGAATATACTGAGTATGTTGATGTTGATGTTGAAGGAAAAAGTATATAGTGTAATCTTATTACACATTGGCAATATAAACCATCTTATTCTCTTAAATCACTTCTGTACAATAATGATAAGTATATAGTGTAATCTTATTACACATTTAACTTAGATGTAATTCACAACAAGTAATTGTTATTAGATATTGACAATTCGAAAGGTACTTTTGCACAAGTGTTACTGGTTATTATTATTAATAATCAAATTCCATAAAGTAAAATTTAATGCAGGAAACCTATTACTGGTTATTATTATTAATAATCAAATTCCATAAACTGAAATTTAATGCATGAAACCTATAATCGGATTCAATAAATTTCAATTTTAGTTTAATTTTTACGTACTGCATTGCAGTTCGATTATTTCATTAAAAGATTGGCTTTTTTATTTTCAATAGTTCGGCACGATTCTACACAAATTGAACCAAAACGTGCAAAAAAGCCAAA